AAGCTACAAGTTTAGTGTATTGCAATATATAATTTTGTCTTTTTCCTACTTCGGGCTATCCTCTAGAGTACTTATTTGTCGTAAAATATATAGCTCAGACTTTTTAGTCATTAAGTTCTCATGCTCCAAAATATTTGGTGATTGGGTAGACATTACAATTTTACATATTTTTGTATTAAATAATGGTCCTTTTCATAATTCATGCATATTAGATTTGACATGACAGTTTCCTTATTTTTTGAATCTGGAAGCTTCCTAAATTAAGGAATTAAAAAACCATTTGAATTTTGAAATGATACTCAAGATTTTTGCTAGCCAACTAATTTTTTCTTCTCCAATCAGCCATTGACAAATTTTCTCTTCTTCAATCAACCACCGAATTTTCTCTTCTCTAATAAGCCATTAACTTGATTTTGTTTCCATAAATGTCAACAACATTTATATTCTGATAAATGTCAAGAAAGAATTACGTGATAAACGAAGTCACGCAACTTTCTTCAATTCTCACACAGAAATTAAAGGCATTATTCATGACGTTTATTTTCATTTATTTTTTTATTATTGTATATTATTTCTATCTATTATTATCATTTTGATAAGTCATGTTATTGTTCAATTTTTGTTTAGGTAATATAGTTTTTAAGTAACTGTCACAAATATTTCATTTTTGGCTTGCCACTCTATTAAAAACAAATGAGTGTGTAATTGTAGTAGCCAAGCCATTATACCAATTGTGTCACTCTCTTGCCACCCTATCAAAAAACAAGTGAGTGTGTTGTAGTTTTAGTGTCCAAACCCTCTAACCAATATTGTCACGCTATATTTTTTTTTGGGGGAGGAGGAGGGGGAGAGGTAGAGGGATGGAGAGGGGGAAAGGAGACTTGAACTATTGACTTTAAGAAGACAAAATTTTTACAAAGTAAGTAGAACTACTGGACCAAAGGCCCATTAGTATTGTCACGTTACATTGTCACTATATGAAAATCAAACAAATGTGTATGTATAATTGTGGTGACCAAACTATTATACTAATGTTGTCACTCTATCAAAAAAACAAGTGAGTGTGTTTTATAATTTTAGTGTCAAAGCCCTTCAACCAATGTCATCACACTATGTTGTCACTCTATTAAAAATAAACGAGTGTGTGTGTAATTGTAGTGTCCAAGCCCTTTAACCAATGTTGGCACGCCATGTTGTCACTCTATGAAAAGCAAATGAATGAGTGTGTGTAATTATAATGGTCAACCCATTATACAATATTATCACTCTATCTTGTCACTATAAAAAAAAAATGTGTTTTTGTAGTTTTAGTGTCCAAGTCCTTCAACCAATGTTGGCATGCTATGTTGTCACTCTATAAACACAATCCAACAAGTGATCCAATTCATACGAAAACAACACTAATTAGTTGAACAATATGTAAGATAATAATCATAAGTTACATTTCGTTAATATTTTGTTGAAGGTCCACAAATACATATGAAATTTTCAATCATTTGTCCACAACTGTTTTCTTCAATTCTTTTCGTTTTTTGAAATCTTCTTCATTCCAAGTAGTTCGATGGTTCAGGAACATTGACACTACTTCTACCCGAAAAACTCTCAATTGTGCAGATGTCTACTTTTCTTCTATTTCTTCTCATTTTTCAAGGCTTTTTATTATGTACCAAACAACAACACCATAGTCGACCATGCATTATATGTTGAGAAGAAAAACCATTTTAAAATTTTTTTGTACAAATTAGGGTTTTGCAATCATAAAATTGGGTGTTTGTAGAAATCACAATCACTCATAATGCATTCTAATTTTTGAGAGAGAATAATTTCTAGTCTTACAATGTTCAAAGATTGACAAATTCATTCATATTTTTATCGCATAAAGTGACTTCATTCAATTGAGCTGTATAGGTAGAACGTTGAGATACATATCACATGTATATTTCAATTTATCATAGCATGACTTCATAATGTGACACATACATATACTAAATATTTATGTTAAAAACTAATTGAATAACAATCGATGATCACTTATAGTAGAGAAAAATGCAAATTGGGGATTTTGCCAAAAGTTTATTCCATGTGCAATTATTGATATTTTTTATAGATTTCATGCATAATATTTTATTTTGAAAATTGTAAACAAGAATGAAAAACTCTCGATGATCTCAAGTGCTGGAAAAATCCAAAGACGATCGATCAGCTTGTTCAATATGAAACCCTACTCTTTGCTACAATCCAAACAATCGTCTCCACACCCATAAAAAAATATGGGACTTTGAGAAGATTCAAACTTGTTTTTCTGAAAGATTTGAAAATATTTAGATTTGATGTGAAACACTCCCATTTTTTGTTGGATTTCTGTTTAGAAATGACATGAATTAAGGAGAACAGTCAACCAGGTTTTCTATTTTGAGTATGACAACAATTTTTTTTATTAATAACACTTTTAATCCCTAAAGTATGTCTTTATTGTATCAATTATATCAATTTAGTCTCTAAAATATTCAATTCATGTCACTATGGTCTCTACATAGACGGACCGTAAAAATTTTTTGATGAAAATGACCACATATCATTTTTTTAGATAGTATCACGTGCCCAATATATGATCATTTTATTAAAAATTTAACGATCTGTCTATATATGGACCAAAATGTCACAAATTAAATACTCTAAGGACCAAATTAACAAAATTGATACAATAAAAACTACACTAATAAAAAATACATATCTTATTCGATGATGCTGAAATTTGGCCAAGAATTACATTTTGAAACAAAATATAAATTTATTAAACATTTAGGATAACGGGTCAAAATTGGATATGATCGGACCTGGCCCAGTATCTCAGTGGGCCATATCCAGCCAGGCCCACTTCTTGGGCCGATCACGGCCCTTAATATAGATCTCCAAACCTGAAACCAGCTGTCAGGAAGAGCCACAACCCAACCTATTGCCGTGGTAATTTTTTTAAAAATTGTTTACAAAATTGTAACTTCAAAATTAAGATAAAATGAAAACTAATTCCCTCACTTTTTTATTCTTTCCATTTTCCTTATTATATATAATATTTTATTTATTCTTCCAACTTTTCATCTTTCGACTTTTCAATCCTTCACTTTTTCATCACACCAAACATAGCGTTCAACTCCTTATTCCCTACTTCTCTCTACAAAACACTATATTCCCAAGTAACTAATTTTCCGTAAGACGACGTTTGATGAAAAGATTATAGATATGATTTTTGAATCACAACTTGCAATCTGATTTATTGTAATTATAAGTTTTTCTTTGGTCAGTATGTAACTGAAAGTTTAGTACCCTCACTTTATGATCTTACAATTTTTAAAAAAAGTAATACTAGATGAACTTAAAAACTAGACTTGATAATTTCAACAATTGAATAAGTAGTGGGTCCTAATAAATACTGGGACCTATAGTGAAATCAATAGTTCTAATTATCAAGTCTATTTTTTAAGTCCATGTAACATTACTGTTTCAAAAAAGATAAAGATATTTCATCTAAATAACAAAATAACTTATTGATGGGTCATTTAAGCCCATTAAAGGCAACCCACTAAATAGCCTGCTAAAGGGCCCCCCGGACTAGCTCAATGGCCTAGCCGTTGACCTGCCCTTTTCTATTTCCTGTCTAATTGACCAATCAACATCTCGGACCACAGGTGGGCCTAAGCTATTTAACTGGTGATCCAGCCCAGCCCGATGCCTACCTTAGATTAAACTTCAGCACAATAAATCAGAGAATATAATATTTTCAAGATTAGCCAAAATGTTTATTCACTCCAATACATACAAACATCACAATTGGTCAGAGTAAGAGCTGAGCATTGTGTTTTTCAGCTATATCCTATTTTCTGTGATTTGTTGTCCGAGATGATTATTGTGGAAATCCCCAAGATATTCACTCCGATATAAACAAACGTCTCAATTAGCTTCTGTAGACCTCAGGGACACTGAGTACTGTGTTTTCTATGCTGTGTTTTCAAGAGTTTATCTTAGTGTAAGGGCCTCATCTTTCCTATTCGCTACATCGTATGATATCTTTCTCCCGGCAAGTACAACATATGATATCACCTCAACAGATAAAGTTATAAAAAAAACACAGCAGAGAGGGATGCTCGGAGATTGTACAGGAAACCACCTCTTGTAGTGTCCTCTTTCGATAGATAGATGAAGCCAGGACAATTCTTGAACATTGAAAGTCCATTCCAGGTTAGGATGCTGAAGAAATTACGGATCCACACTTCGACTGGAGTTAAATGTCAGAGTAAAGTTTGCTTTCCACAGGTTTTCCGGGTCATTTGTCATGCAATTCCCTCTTTGGGAGTAAATCAGCTCCCCTAAATCTGAAATTGAACCTCATGCCTAGATCGGAAACAACCATTCAAAAATTTCATAATTCAGACAAAACCAACCCTCTGTAAATTTCAAGAGAAAACATATGCAGGATATGCCCAGCAGGAAGAATTGACACCATCTGAAGGCTATTACCCAGTGCCGACTCCCAGTATTAGAGGAAGTTTAAATGGAGAGTGTGCTGTCCTACCCCCCAACTATATTTGCNAGAAAACATATGCAGGATATGCCCAGCAGGAAGAATTGACACCATCTGAAGGCTATTACCCAGTGCCGACTCCCGGTATTAGAGGAAGTTTAAATGGAGAGTGTGCTGTCCTACCCCCCAACTATATTTGCACAAAGTGGCACCCTGGAACTCATGTCTAACCCTAGAGAGCGATGGCCCAAATCTAACATTGCACAAAGTGCCCCTGATGATCTACTCTCCCTCTGGCAACTAAAAAATTCTCATTGCCAAATATAGTCACTTCTAACAGAAGTCAGAAGATATAGGCTCCAATATCCCAACAGGTACCCCCCCCCCCACTTTTTTTTTCCCAATATAAATGCACGCACGCATGAAACACCAAAAAACTGATGGCTAAATTAAAGAAAACATTTAGGAAACAATATTACCTCTGGCATTTCTTGAGAAGAACTTGAAGACCTCATCAATTATTATTACCTACAAAAGATAGACAAAATCAGTAAGTACTGTGGACCATGCTGGACTGTAAATTGTAAGGGATTGAAACTAATGCACTGTGCCAAACCCAAGGCACTACGATACATGAGCCTACGCAAATGTGGAGTTTGGACAAGGCTGGATGTATGCAATCTAAATTCGCGTACAAAGAAACTATTTCCATGGCTCGAATCCATGACACACAAGTAACAACAAAACAACAATATCACCCCAATCACCATGCCAAAACCACTTTTGAGAGAAAATTTACGAACATGCATTTAAAAATTATATACATATATTTCCACCAGAATTACTTAAAAAAGTAAGAGCTATTCAAAATGGGGAAAAGTATTTTTGGAGTAATAAAACAGAAGCTATTCTGGCACTCAGAAGAAAAACTAAAACCGAAAAACTAGTGTAAAGATGCTTGAAAATCTTCCCTGATCAGAGAAAATGCTTCACTGACACCAACTTTATAAGTGTGGTGTAAGGTGGTAAATAGAAGCCTACACTTGCCAAAAAGGTTTCAGACACATATACGCAAAAAGGAATAACACAGCTTCCCTCCTTTGCCTCTTCAGTGACTGTTAATTACTGATGCAAACATAAGAATTAAGAAAGAGCAAGAGCAATCACACAGCAGTATACTGGCATTGCCTCTATCGCATTCCCTGGAAAGCCCACCCACTCCTGTACCAAATAATTGAGTATCTTGTACACTTGCACAACTATATGATATGCTATGATAACAAATATGTGCTAAACTAATGGGTGGTAAGTACAGAAACTTTTAAGCTAATTCCCAAAATGATGGGATAATCTTCAGACAAGCATTGATAATCAAGCCACTTACAGGAAATGAAAGATACAAGACAACAGTCCACTCGGCCCAACTTAATGGTGTCACCTGCAATGCAAAATTCACAAACTCAAACTAATGACTTCTCAACATGAAAGAGATATGTAAGATTAGGGGTGGTCAATCGAGTTGTATCCTATCTTTTTCGAATCAAGTCATTTAGGATTAGTATCGAGTCCTTGCAACCCCTAACCTGACCTGTTTAGTTAATCATGTAAGATGTTCTGACATTAACCCGCCCCATTTATTGGGTCGAAATGTATAACATGTAAACTAAAAACCTAGGAACAAGATAAATTTCTTGCTCAACCAAACCCACTGCCCACAGAGCCCCATGAAGTAAAGATCCACTCGATCCAAATACTAACAAAATCAAGTAATAAAATCCTTGTAACTTTACACTGATTCATACAATATTGGATCATGAAATAAAAGAAAAGAAAAAACATTAGACATTTCTTATTACAACACTAGTGAAATGGGCTTGTCATGTCAAAATCAGATTAGTCATATTTGACACCAACTTAACCCAGTTGTTATTCATGTTAGCGGGCTGTGTTATTTTCAGCGTTTGAAAACTAGTCAATTCTAACCCACTAATTTATAGAGGATTTGTGTCTCACTAATGTATCATGACCAAAAGTTTCACCCTGCATGAGATCATCCTACAAAAATCATGCTTAACAGGTAAGAGAAAGAGAATCAACTTACAGAGAAAAGAATAGACAATGGCTGCACATACAAAATCATTATGTGAAGGAGCATAGTCAGGATGATCGAAGCAACAAGCCACATATTACTCCAGGGAGGAACAACACTGAAAATTAGATACATTAAAATGTTAATGCTAAAGCATACTTCTTTTGTATGTTTTCTTTCCGTTTCTAGTCTCCTAGACATGTAAAAAAGCAAAGAAGAGCATATTTTTTTTAACAGATAGATACAACAGATAAATTCTCTAATAAAAATAATTATACATGTCAAAGAAGGCTAGCATATTTGAAAAGTGAACAACAGGCTGGTTGACATTTAGATCCAAAACTTAATGAATGTCATGATCTCCACACTTTCTAGCAGGAATGAATAGTTTAAGGAGCAAACATATTTTCTACGAAAATGACATAATAACCCATGATGATTTCCCAACTTGTCAAAAAATGTCAACAATTCTAATGCTACAGGAAGTCTGCATTTCCACAGATCCGGCTTGGAGAATCAAAGGATGGAAACTCAATGTGTGTATGTGCAAGTGTTCATGTAAGAGGTTGGATAGGCAGCAAAACTAGGGTCACTATGTGATCTAAAACAGAGATGAAAGTGAAGTGTCATTAAACAAAGTGGTCTGCAACTTTAAAGCATACTTCAAAACCCGACAATTGACACTTCATTTAAAGTTTGTTTAAACCACTAAAGTAATGTTTTTTTATTGAGTTTATAATTTCAAAGCATCCAAAGAACTGTTATATGATCAGTTCTGCAAATCCATCTCCTTGCACCGTTAAGTTGTCAATTGTGTTGGTTAAAATTAATTACCCGATGAATCACTTCAAACCTAAGAGGATGACAAGGCATGGGAAAAATGCAGACTCGTGANTAGAGTTTATAATTTCAAAGCATCCAAAGAACTGTTATATGATCAGTTCTGCAAATCCATCTCCTTGCACTGTTAAGTTGTCAATTGTGTTGGTTAAAATTAATTACCCGATGAATCACTTCAAACCTAAGAGGATGACAAGGCATGGGAAAAATGCAGACTCGTGAAAGCTGTTGTTATCTTAAGATTGATTCACACATGCATTCCTCATTAACGTAGATAACACAGAGATCCCCAAAAAAAAATTCCACAAATATGCCGATGGTACTGATTANGCTGTTGTTATCTTAAGATTGATTCACACATGCATTCCTCATTAACGTCGATAACACAGAGATCCCCAAAAAAAAATTCCACAAATATGCCGATGGTACTGATTACTTACAGAAGAGACTGATTTTCACTCAAATTATTTAATGCATTGAACATCTCGACAACGACAAGCACTGTCATTGACACAGTTGATGGATGCCGATCATTAAAGACACTGCAAGAATAAGTCGTCTCCCTTGCTGAACAACTATCGAAATTCATCTGAAATTATAAAACCCAAAGAATTAGTTCAAAAGGGCAATACACAGATATTAACAGCCAGTTTTTAACACACAGAAACTCCTATCAAATGTCAATGCAGACAAATAACAAAATATGGAATGACCACTGATGAAGAATGTTATGTCATAAAAGAAAGTAAAACAGGAAAAAAGAAAAAAAAAGGAGGCAAAGAATTCCATCCTCCATTGGCTCAGTCAATCAAAAGATTAAATTATAATTTCTACCCCGAAGCCATGATCACCAAAAGGAAATAATTTAGCTTTTTTTTTTGTTATTCAGTGAATAAAAAGTTCAAAAGATTATTTTTAACCAAAAACAGTATTGTCTCACTTAATTGAAACTTCCTCATCCTCCGTTTGGTTCTATATAACTCATTCTATAATTCACCAAGACAAGAAAAAGTACAAGCCGCCAAAAGGTTTAAAAGAAAGCAATTCCATACACACATGGTATGCCAGATAAGAAAACTAGTTCAAAGAGCTTCAATTATTAACCATGGCTTAGAAAAGTTGTACACCATATAAATCAGTTCGTGGCTTCAAATCTCAATGAGGACTAGAGACCCTTGTAAAGTGATTCCAACAAAACCAAAACACAAGCTAAGAAAGTAATTTCAAAAAAGATAAAGCTCACCAATTCACTGTATGGTAGTTTAGGTCCACTGTCGGAGTAAACGAACCACCATATGAACCCCGCAATGGTGGCAAGTCCAACATAAGCTGCATCAACAAAATAATCCAGTCATAGACCGCAATTGTAATGCTAAAATATCAAAGATGAAAAAAAAAGCTTAGACTACATCAGAATCTTCCTATTATTGTGATTTTTCACAAGGTCAACTCCACCAGTACTTATCACCAGAATTTTCAAAATTGCAAAGAATATGCCAAGGCATTCATGACTACCTCCGATAACTAAATAACGAAAAAACAACCACCCAGTGACAACTGCTTCGCTAACCTGCCATTTGAACAGGGAAAAATAAGATCACAAGTAGGGTTCTACATTTTGAGCATTCAGTTAACAAACAATATGAAGGCAAGGAGGTACTATAGTAAGAAAAGAATTTAGCACCCAATTAATTAAAGCAATAACAAAAACATTTTCTCACTAGTAGATACACCAAAGGAAAAATAGTCCATTCATGTCAAATCTATAATAGAAATTACGGCCAACTGTTAATTTCTCAGCCAACCATGACACACTTAAACTTTTGACCAGTGCATTGCCCAAACTAGCAGGGATCATTGACTTCATAATCAATTTCTACCTTGAATTTTTTCAATTACAATCACCCCTTTCAAGTCATTGTTAGAGTATATGGAAAGTAGAATAATGGGCATTCTTATAATTTTTAAGTATCTTGATAATGTACATGCTGAGGAGTATGGGAATGAGTAGTACCCACCGTTTTCAAAATAATTCTCTTTCTCTCCTTCTCTTTGCTGTTCTTCCTCCAAAACTTTGTCCAGTATTAAGGTCCAGTACTAGCCAAAAAAACAGAGGACAATGTTGGAAGAAAAAAGGGAACCTGCTAGGCTACTGACGTCAGCCCTTGAAGATCAAAAACTCTACCTCCAGGTTCGGATTCACATGGGGAGTTCAATGGAAGCCTTTTCACATTGTTTTGAAATTGTTTGATGGATTTTTTCAGATTTTTCTAAAGATTTTCTGAAAAATATGTGCGCTTTTTTCGAATTGCAATTTTTGCTATTTGTTTTTGTTTTTGTTTTGCTGCTCCTAATATACACAGAAGGCTCTGAAAAGACGTGGGGAAGGTGATTTTCAGCAGACCATGATCAATCAAGTGGATTTTTTATTTTAATTTTTTTTTTCAGACATCGATTAGACTCTTTGTTCGGGGTTCTTCGAAGTTTTTTGATGTTCAGCTACCATATTAGGACTGGTTTTGCTTATTGTTGGTTGCTACTTGGGTTGTTTTTGTTGGGATTATGGTTGTTGTGTAAGTTTCTGTAGGTTAATTTAGATCCATTGTGATAATGTCTAAGATTAGTCAAAGTTTTGGTAGCTCTAGTAACGATGAATGGGTCAGTTTAATACCCAAAATGAGAACCCTACACTACAAATTACTACGGCTAAGTTTGATAGCACTAATTATCTTGCCTGATCTCATTTAGCACTATTTAACATATTAAGAGCAAATGAAATATGGCACAGTTGTTGAACCCAAGAGTACACATGCGCTCTTTGCTTATAAATAAGACATGGAGAATTCTACAGCTATGTCTTGGCTTCTTCATTCCATGCAACCCAAGATCAACAATGCTATTCATCCTAGAGGACAGCAAAGAAGATATGGGGTGTTGTTGCTCAGACTTACTCACAAATGGGTAATGTTGCTCAGATTTATGACCGAAACGTATAATATTTTGCAAGGGTTGTGGCAAGAGTTGGATCAATATCAGGTGTTCCAGGCTGATTGTCCTGGGGATGCTAATAAATTCAAAAAGATGGTGAAACAAGAGCGCATTTTTGAGTTCTTAACTGCTTTGAATACAGAGTTTGATCCAATTCGCCTTCAAACTTTGGGTATTGATCCATTGCCTTCTCTCAATCAAGTATTGGCTTATGTTCAAGACAAGAGCAACAAGAGCAATGATATGCTTGAGTCATCTGTCCTGTAGAGATTTGCTCTTGCCTCTGCCCCTGAAGGAGGTGTTTCCATTTCTGATGACAAAGATAAGCTTGCATGTGATTATTGTGGCAAGTCAAGACACACCAAGACGAGTTGTTAGAAACTACACGATAGACCTATACGAGGTAAAGAGCGTCACCCTTGAGGAGTGACTAGGTCTCGTGCTCATCTTACTTTCACACACTCCTCGCCTTTAGAGATTTCAGGGCTTTTTAGAGACGAAATTGAGTGCTTCGATGTTTCATGACACAATTAGAGCCTGTTGAGTTCTCATTCTTGCATTATTTTATAGCTAATATATTTACTTTAGGCTTGGTAGTAGACTAATTTGCTTTGCTTAGCTTGTTTTACAATTAATGCATTGATTCCGTGTTTGCAGGTAGTCTAGGTGTAAAGGTAGATATCTAGCATCATAATGATTGTTTTGGACAAGTTAGAGTTAATCCACTAAAAGTGACGTCGGAGGCCTTAGAGAAGAAATTCAGAGAAAGATAGGTTCTACCGGTAGTAAACCTAATAGTAGGAGGGTGTTAAAATGAAGAATCTATCAGTAAAAGTTAAGTTCTACTTGTAGGGAATAATACAGTGTGTAAAGTATTGATAGTTGAGTTATGTTCTACTAGTAGCAAGGCTCTCTGGAATGAACAATAAGGTGTTATAACGGTACGTGAAGATGTGTTCTATCGATAGCAGTGCTCTCTGGAATTGTGTTATACCAGTAGGTGACCTGATGTGTTATCCATAGAAGAAGCTACGAGGATTTGAAAATCAAGGTTCTACCGATAGTTGATCAATGTTCTACTGGTAAGTCGTGTAACAGAATGAGGTTTTGCCAGTATGTATCAATGTTCTATCGGTAGGTCGACAACAGATTTGACGAAAAACTCTAATTTGAGCCTGATTTTGCCATATCTTTTGGTGATTCTCTACCAATGCGAAGAAGATAAGTTTTAGGAAAAAATATGCACGAAGATACTGAAAATATTCCTTCCATACACCATAAATAGGAGGCTTTGGGCTGAGGAATGGGGATCGCTTAATTGCTTACTTATCTTCTTTCTCTGCAACTTTTCATAACTCTTTTCCTTAGCAACTTTTCTTTAGTTATTTCTTTATCTTTATTTTCAAGTCCTAGTATTTTCAATTCCAAGTCAATTTCATACTGTGTAATCAATTTCAATACAATTCTTTCAATACAAGGTATTTTACATAAGTTCTTATTGCTTTTCCGTCAATCTTTATTTCCTTGAATTCAATTATGTCTTTCTTAATACTTTGTTTTAATTTCATCGTCATGAGTGAGTAATTTTCTTTCCGAATAATTGGAGAAGGAAATCTCAATCTATGAACTAGAGTATTTACGATGTATGTGATTTTAATGACTGAATAATTGCTTCGAAACCAAATTGATTGGTCATATCCTTTATTATTTGTATACAATTGATTTTGGTACGAATAATTCTACAATCAATTGGACTCACATTTTTTCAATCAATCTATCTGTCATTAAAATCACTATTTTTATTATTTAATGCTTTTGGTTGAATATTATCCATCTGGGGGAGTTTGATTATGAACTTGGATGAGTTATAGATTTAGAGTGTGAATTTATGTTCATAGGTAGGATAGAATTCGAAAATTATCTAGTTCTTTCTTTTAATTGAGTTTCCTCTTTATTTAGTTAGTTACCCAAAACTTCTCAAATTCAAACAGCTTTTTACTTTTATTTTTTTTCATCATTCTTGATTAAAATATTTTCTTGAGGAGACGACATTGAAATTTTGTTCCAATTTACTACACGATAACTTCTCTAACGCATGGGAGTTACGTGAAAATCAACACATTTGAAGGCTAGCAGAGCCTACCTCGAATACCATTTTCTCTTCTACATTTGCNGGGTGTTGTTGCTCAGACTTACTCACAAATGGGTAATGTTGCTCAGATTTATGACCGAAACGTATAATATTTTGCAAGGGTTGTGGCAAGAGTTGGATCAATATCAGGTGTTCCAGGCTGATTGTCCTGGGGATNGTGTGTTGTTGCTCAGACTTACTCACAAATGGGTAATGTTGCTCAGATTTATGACCGAAACGTATAATATTTTGCAACGGTTGTGGCAAGAGTTGGATCAATATCAGGTGTTCCAGGCTGATTGTCCTGGGGATGCTAATAAATTCAAAAAGATGGTGAAACAAGAGCGCATTTTTGAGTTCTTAACTGCTTTGAATACAGAGTTTGATCCAATTCGCCTTCAAACTTTGGGTATTGATCCATTGCCTTCTCTCAATCAAATATTGGCTTATGTTCAAGACCAGAGCAACAAGAGCAATGATATGCTTGAGTCATCTGTCCTGTAGAGATTTGCTCTTGCCTCTGCCCCTGAAGGAGGTGTTTCCATTTCTGATGACAAAGATAAGCTTGCATGTGATTATTGTGGCAAGTCAAGACACACCAATACGAGTTGTTAGAAACTACACGATAGACCTATACGAGGTAAAGAGCGTCACCCTTGAGGAGTGACTAGGTCTCGTGCTCATCTTACTTTCACACACTCCTCGCCTTTAGAGATTTCAGGGCTTTTTAGAGACGAAATTGAGTGCTTCGATGTTTCATGACACAATTAGAGCCTGTTGAGTTCTCATTCTTGCATTATTTTATAGCTAATATATTTACTTTAGGCTTGGTAGTAGACTAATTTGCTTTGCTTAGCTTGTTTTACAATTAATGCATTGATTCCGTGTTTGCAGGTAGTCTAGGTGTAAAGGTAGATATCTAGCATCATAATGATTGTTTTGGACAAGTTAGAGTTAATCCACTAAAAGTGACGTCGGAGGCCTTAGAGAAGAAATTCAGAGAAAGATAGGTTCTACCGGTAGTAAACCTAATAGTAGGAGGGTGTTAAAATGAAGAATCTATCAGTAAAAGTTAAGTTCTACTTGTAGGGAATAATACAGTGTGTAAAGTATTGATAGTTGAGTTATGTTCTACTAGTAGCAAGGCTCTCTGGAATGAACAATAAGGTGTTATAACGGTACGTGAAGATGTGTTCTATCGATAGCAGTGCTCTCTGGAATTGTGTTATACCAGTAGGTGACCTGATGTGTTATCCATAGAAGAAGCTACGAGGATTTGAAAATCAAGGTTCTACCGATAGTTGATCAATGTTCTACTGGTAAGTCGTGTAACAGAATGAGGTTTTGCCAGTATGTATCAATGTTCTATCGGTAGGTCGACAACAGATTTGACGAAAAACTCTAATTTGAGCCTGATTTTGCCATATCTTTTGGTGATTCTCTACCAATGCGAAGAAGATAAGTTTTAGGAAAAAATATGCACGAAGATACTGAAAATATTCCTTCCATACACCATAAATAGGAGGCTTTGGCTGAGGAATGGGGATCGCTTAATTGCTTACTTATCTTCTTTCTCTGCAACTTTTCATAGCTCTTTTCCTTAGCAACTTTTCTTTAGTTATTTCTTTATCTTTATTTTCAAGTCCTAGTATTTTCAATTCCAAGTCAATTTCATACTGTGTAATCAATTTCAATACAATTCTTTCAATACAAGGTATTTTACATAAGTTCTTATTGCTTTTCCGTCA